AAATTGCCAGAAACACATCAGAATATGTCACAACCACAACTAGAGGTTTGGAATCAGTACTAAATTTTATACCTAGTAAGTGATGCGTCAACTAACAAGTATAGGATAAAAAAGAATTATTGATATAGAGTGTACTTACGATCTCCTTCTGCTTATTTATGAAGTGACTTTCCTTTAAAATGTGAGGAATACCGGTAAAATAAAACATAATTTTTGGTTTGGTTTCTTTCAGGCTACTCCTCAGTTTTTGATCGGTGAAAAGATTATTGATAACTATATAATTAGTACTGCAGGTTAATTAAAAGAACAAAATCAAGTAGAATCTGTGAATAGAAACTCAAAAAATAATGAAAATATTTAGAAAAAGGGGCCGTAAACGTCACTGTCAGCCAAGTGTCAGAGTTCAATTAAATTTACCACATATTATCAATTTGAACGATTTGAACTACAGTCGATTCCAGTCTAGATATTTTCGTTTTTTAAGCCTCCCATACTGAAGTTTGCCATATTGGGAAGTTTTAAATGATTACAAATATAAGTCTTGGGGTACTTTGTTTTAATAGGTTTTTTTACGGTTTTTTGTTTATAACTGAAAATATTAACTTTTCGTAAAATAATCTTCCTATTTAAAATTAAAGCACACAAAATGTTCTATATTTTTTGACATTTAAGTTTTTTCTCTGAAGAACAGTTCGGACTCATAAGCCAGTTGAAAATTAACGTTTCTTTGGTTGCCTCCGCAAATAGATATAGAGAGAGATTTCAACAGTAGTTATACTAATACGGAACTGTGACTGTCGAATGACCAAGATCGTTACCAAAGATTCCGTTCACGTGTTACCTGAGCGTTCCTGTAGAGTTACCGTAGGCTGTTAAAGAGGGAGTTATTTTAAAAGTGTCGTTTACTTAGGTAGCAGGTGAGGGTGTGACGTTATAACACTTGTTTGGTAAACAACATTATTACTGTGTCATTATCACCATCATTCTAAGCTTATTTAACTATTTCCAATTATGGTGTAGTCTCCCTCGCATACTCTCTTTGTAGTCGGGCCTATTGTTGGCTATGCGGGCCCAAGGTATCCCTGTTAATTTCCTAATATGTTCTATCTCAGGTTCGATCTTCCTCTAGATCTCTTAATTCCTCGTGGGTACCATGCTGTCATTTTTGTGGTCCATCTGTTGTCCGTCCTTCTTGCCAGGTGCCCTGCCCTTTGCCATGTGAGGGACTTAACTCTGTGGATTACATCTCTATTACCTGGGTCTTCCGTCTTATCCCCGCTATTCTTTTACGGTGGTTATTCGCAGCATATTTCGCTCCATCGAGCATTGTGCGACCGGCAGATTCCTTATGATGTCCGTTAAGTCTCCAAGTTTCTCATGCATACGTCATGACTGGTAGTGCACATTGGTGGAATGTTTTCTTCTTTAGGTAAGGTAGTGGCATTCTAGATTTGAATATGATTGAGTTTCTTCCATAAGCACTCCATGCTAACTTAATTCTTCTGTTAATTTCTGGTAGTAGAAATTCCGACTTGTATATTAGTTGACTCAAATATATATATTCTACTATTTCCAGTATTGTGATATTTATTAGAATGTCTTTCTTTCCACTAGTGCGTTATACATTACTTTAGTTTTTGCTAAATTCATTTTGAGACCCACTTTATTTCTGGCTGTATTTAGTTCATTAATTTATTAAGAGTTTTTCAGAACTATTGGCAATTAGGACTGTGTCATCAGCGAATTTTAGATGGTTAATATATTTTCCATCTATTTCTAATCCTTTTCTGGTCCAGTTCAGTTGACGAAAGATTACTAGTGTTGCTGTAAACAGCTTTGGTGATATCGCGTCTCCCTGTGGTACTCCTTTGCCAGTTGGGAACTCTGGGATTGTTTTATCTATCATTACTCTTGCTTTGGCTTTTTTGTATATATTGGCGGGAGATTTTATATAACGCCTGTTACGTAATACCTTGTTACGTTAGGGCTTCTATTATTGCCTTAGGATATATCGAGTGGAAAGCCTTCTACAAAAATCTATAAAGACTATGGCTAGTGGAATCGTATTCTTTTGTATGTGAACAATAGTGCTTCTACAGCCTGCTTGTTTTCGTGGTTGTGAAGCGTCTAACGTGTTTTGTATTCTGTTGTTTATTATTTTTGTAAATATCTTGTGCGTTACTGGTATGAATTAGAATTACATTGGCGCAATTGCTTATCGTGGTATATATTTTCTCCTTGACAGCTGGTGTATATATTTGCTAGGATTTTCCCAGTTCTCCTACCAGCGTACTTAAGTATTTCAGCTCTTATTCCGTCGTTTCGCAGTGCTGCTTTTCCATTTTTCATATCTTGAAGCGCCTGTTATACTTCTCCCACCAGAACTTCTGGGGCGTCGTTTTGTGGTAAGGGCAGTCTTTCTTCTTCATGTATGTTTTCTGGTGCTTTATATAGGCCGCTGTAGAACCTTGTTACCAGGCTTATTATTTCGTTTTTGTCTCTTATTCTGATGTTGTTGTGTGTTAATGCGATTAGATGCTTCTTTCCGATCATGTAGAATTTTTAGCGTGGTTATAGCTTTTTTTGGTTTCGATTGCAGTTTGTAAAAGCTTTTTCATAGTAGTTTTTGATGTATTCTGCAATCCTCTTTCTTATTATCTTACACAATTCTTTTTGTTCTATTCTGCGTATGTTGCTCTCGGTTTTCATTTCTCCTCTTTTCTTGAGAACTGCTTTCGTCTCATCAGTCAGTTTATTATCTTTGTTACGCCTCTGTGGACCTCGATTACTTTTGCACAGTTTAGTTCAGTGTCCATGAGCTGTAGCTGCTTCTTCAAGCAGTTCTTCAATGTTCTTCAGGCTGTTCATATTCACTGGATCTTTCTTTTAGTGTGTTGGTATTTACTCTAGTTATTTGTTTCCTGATCAATTTTTGTCTTTCTAGTCGAATGACTATTCTGGTTCTGACGAGTCTGTGGTCACTGCCTGTTCGAAAGTTATTAAGAACGCTCACATCTTTTACTGTGTTTATGTTGTTAGTTAAAATGAAGTCAATTTCATTCCTAGTTACCTCATTGGGTGCTTGCCATGTTCATTTTCTATTTGTGTTCTTCTTAAAGTATGTATTGACTATGAACATGCTCTAATGATATGCGTATTGTACAAGTCTCTCTCCTCTCCCATTTTGTTCCCCAATTCCAAAGTTTCCCATTTGTTGTTCTTGTTCTTTTCGTTTTCACTCCTCAACCAGCTGAATAAAATTCAACTGACCCTGCTGGTTATTATTGTGTATGAGAGGTTAAAGGTTTCAGTGAACAAATCTTATTTGAAGCGATAACTCAACATATGTAATATTGAACCGGTGCTAGAGCCTAATCGGCTTGTTTGAGGAAAAAGAACTTAACTAATACGAAATGTTGTCTACTTTTATTTTGAATAGAGATATTATTCCCGAAAAAGGTATCTTTTTCGGGTTATAAGCAAAAAACGCAAAATTACAATTTTCTCCGTTTTCTTGGCATTTTTTAGTATTCCGTCACGAAATTTTGCCACCACACATCACATTCGGATTCAGCGCACCAGAAAACATAAGAGCAAGATAAATCAAAATTGCCCCAAAACTTTCCCCCAAAAAATAGAATTTTTGACGAATATCGGATATATGTGTCTACATGTTAATTTGGGTGTTGTTCTGTAATAATATTTCGGCCAACTTATACAGGGTGTTTCAAAAACATGTGCCATCTCTCGTGGTGAGATTCCTCACATAAAAATAAGATTTATTTTTCATATCAACATAGGTCCGATTCTGCTTTGTTTCGTAGTTACAGGGTGTGAAATTCTTAATATTTTTTCGATTTATTATATTTTCTTTCAAGAACTTTTAGCGTTTCGAAAGAAATTTTGAGGGTAAAAACTATAAATGCGACATATTTAAAGCTAAAAAAGTGTTGACATATTCATCAGGGACGTGCATATGGGTTATTACTGGAATATTTTTCTAAAAAAGCATGTACGCCACTGACTTTTTTTCTCTTGTTAGCGTAATAGTGTAAGCAGTTTAATTCCGATTAAAAGTTATCTCATGATATTTTGTCGATTTCGGCCTCCTTGAAGAGATAAACGGAATTTTATTAATTTGCCTTCAAGTCTAACAGCACCCTTTAAAAAAATAATATCAGTAATTTGCGGAAGTTTTAAATAAGCACTCGTCGATTCCTCATCAAAAAATGTGAAAAAAGTCCCTATAAACATGGGTATGAAAATGCATAGTTTTGAATTACAGAATGTTAAAACTTTTAAAAATTAAGTTTTTTGTAATTATCTTAAATATCATTATTTTTTTTATTTGAAATTGCTGTAGGTTGGACTAATAGTAATAATAACTAATATTATTAATATTTAATTATAAGTTAGGTAAAATTAGGCAAAATATATAATTTATTAATTTTATTTTTATTTTAATTTTATTGTGATTAATAAAATTGCATTTATCTCAACAAGGAGACCGAATTCGAAAAAACGGCCTAAACAACTTTGATATCAAAAGAAAAAAAGTCAGTGGAGCACAGTTTTTTTTTAAATATTCCAGTGATAACCCATATGCACGTCCTTGTTGAATTTATCAACACTTTTTAGCATTAAAATATGTAGCACTTATAGTAACTTTTACCCTCAAAATTTCATTTGAATCACTCAAAGTATACTTGGAAGAAAATTATAATAAATCAAAATATTATTAAGACTTTAACACCCTGTAACAACGAAGAAAAATAGAATCGGACCTATGTTGTGCATTTGACCTATGTGAAGAAATACATTAACATAATGAAGGATAGAAATCAAATGCAACATAATATTTTGGAATTAGAGCTTAGTAACATTTTACTCTTAAATACAAACAAACATATTAGGAGGTAAAATATTGATGGTGAAATTTAATCAAATCTAATAGGATTCTATAACTCGTAGTGAAAATACTAAATACAATTCATACATACTCTTTTTCTAATTTCCAGTTCTAAAGCGTTGCTCATGTCTGTAGTTGGACATTTATCGGCATGGTTCCTGAGTTCAATCTTTGAATTATCAAACATTGGAACTTCGGCATATAAAGGTGTCAAACGATGTTTATATTCTTTAAGTTTAGTTTGTTTACAGTATTCGGACTGATATGATTTTATAGCTTCTTTTGCTTGTTTTCCAATATTAAATTTTTCCATTAGTCCTTCGGTTACTTCTCTCGCTATTAGGTCGTCTAATGTTAATTTTTTTATTTCTCTTCGAGCGTTTACCTTGCATTGTCTGGCTATATTTTGATTATTTCTATTCATATCTACAATATTAAACTACTACTCTTACTTTATGAAATGACAACTGACAAGTGTGGAAAATACAACAATACTATTGTCACCTGTAAATGCTCAAAAGAAATTTTATAAAAAACTTTATAAAAAAGTATTCGATCCTAAATATAATATTATAATAAAAAGAATAATATATAAGAAAAGAAACATATTAACCCTCGAGCGGGCGCGTCCGGAATTTTGTACCGCAATTTTACTAATTTCGTTAAAACAAAATATCCATTCGGCGTAGGGCGGTGGTGCCACTAATTATTCTTATTTAGGGATATTTGACACCCTGGGTCGTAGTTACGTATCCAACAATTTTGGTTTAGTAGCAATTCTGTGGTAAACCTTGCAGGTACAGAAGTTGCGCTACTCGGTTATGTAAGGTAGTTAACATATTATTTAATTATTTGTTTTATTTGGTATCATTTTAAATTATTAATTATTTTTTTCGATTGCGTTTATAATAATAAGTTAAATATATGTTCATAACCTGTAGTAATGACGGAAAGATCCAGTATACAAACTCTTCCCAGAGATTTCCAAGTTTTCCGCGCTAAATATGCTCCAGAGGTAAAGGTAGCAGTTAGATACAATACGAAGCGAGTTGGTCCCTGCCATGGTACGTGAAACCCATAAAACTACTTGTTTTTGCAACTAATGCAACAAATTTATTCGCAAAAACTACAGTGTTAGACTATCACTAATTATTCTTATTTAGACAGCTTTAGCACGTTTGTAGATGGACACATCCGGTGCGTTTGCCGAGAATAATAAGAGTTGCTCGTATAACAATAGGTAATAAAGATATTTTTAGGGTCTGACTGCACCAATGTTGGGTATTAGGGTTTTAAGATTTATTTTAAGTTTTGTTTAAATATATTTTGTTACACAACGTAAAATAACGTAATGTGATAATAACACAACGTAATATGATAATGACAATACAAATATTTATTTATATTATAAAAATTATTTTATATTGTATATCATCACTTAGCTACGATCTACTACGAGGTGTTTATTGAGGAGACAGTTTCCTATTAAAAACCTCGTGACAATCCTTGATTGTTCTCGGTCTTAAGTCCTGAGGCACTTCTTCTAGTGTCTTAGACCGTTGCAGGACTCCCATTCCATATTACGGTTGGAGTCTTCAAAGTTTTTGAGTTCCGCTTTTAATTGCGGTTTCCACTTGGCAAGCAGAACGGTTCTGGCCTAGTTAGTGGAATGTTCGCTTCTTTTCCAGCTAGATCATTTACTTTCTCATTACCTTCTATGCCTTGGTGATCTGCCATCCAGAGTAGAAGGACTTTGTTTTATTTGCCTAATTTGTTTAGCTTCTCTAGTACTAGCCCATTATAAGTCTCTTATAGTTCAACTATATAACGATGCTGCAAACATTACTTTGATAGTTTTTTATGAAAACTAAAGATGCTAACTTTATTAACACAGATTTGTTCTAGCTAAGAGAGGTAGGAAAAATCTGTATGTACCATCTTTAGTTTCGTAAAAAGTAGCAGTGTTATGTTAACCCTCCGGCAGCGTGACGGTATGCCGTACCTCATTTATATTTTTTAAGTATTCTACAATTTTTAAATATTTTATTGTCCAATTAAACCAGAGGAAGAAGCTAAAACTATCATCTAAATGTTTAGTCTTTTTTTAACAGTTAGGTAACAGTTAGAGACAATGCGAAGTGAGTTGGTCCCTGCCATGTATGTGAAACCCATAAAACTACTAGTTTTGCAACTAATGCAACAAATTTATTCGCAAAAACTACAATGATAGTCTATGACTGTAGTTTCAACATTGTAGTACAAACGTGTTAAAGCTGTCTGAATATCATTGGAACATATACCCGTAAAATGAAATTGGGCCGATCATTTGGCATGTCACAATGTACACAACAAAACGCCTGCATTGTTAATGAAGATCTTACGCTATCAAGCATTATAGGCCAGTAAAAGTAGCCGAGTGTTATATGTAAAGGTGGAAAAAATTAGTAACCAACCAATCTCAACGGGAATATGTAGATAATGATCTCCTATTTAATCTCTCAAAAGTCCCATTCGGTCCCAGTGGGGGAAGTTTGAAAAAAACAGCCGCCATCTTGGATTTTTTCGTTTTTTTTTTTAAATCTCCGTTTGCGTAACTTTTTTCGAAAAAACTAAAGGTATGTTTTTTGTAGAGAATTAAATTTAAAATATTTTACCCTCAATCACTTTTTTTCTAACATAAATAGTAATAGAGATAGAGCAATTTTTTACTATACGTTTTATAAATTTTCCAGTTTTTTTAAACCAATCAGCTATCATTTTGCGTTAACAGTATAGCATTAGTATAGATAAACCACACACAAGTATAAATTTAAGCATTCAAACAATTAAAAATAACGTTTAAATATTATTTATTAAATTAAATTATTGGTAAAAAAAATATTAAATTGAAGTTATTAAATAAAATGTGCTATGGCGTCATCCTGAGCGTCAATTTCGTCCTCAACTAAAATAGAAAAGTTTGTGCAACTGATTTCGTAGCACTTTGAAGAACATTTAAGACCCAGTTTCCTACAAGTGCAATTTTTAGAGCACTGACTCTCTATTTACAATTGCAAAAAAATAATTTTACTAGGTCAGGAGGCGCCACATCTTCTGTTGATTGAATAGGTGTGAGAATACCTTTTTGATCTGTCTTCCATCCATAATCCATATTGTAAATGATCTAACTTGTTACCAACCCCATTCTTTAATCTAAACAATACAATTTATAACATTTCCTATAATAGATATATTTTTACAATTACATCAAAGGTAATCTGAGTAAATGAGTAAATGGAGTTTTGCAGAGTTCTCAGTTGGAGACAAATTAACTAAATTAAAGGTAGTTTTAAGGGTTTGTCTTGATGTTATCCTATTGTATAGAGTGTATCTTCTAATAATAATATAATAATAGCTCCCGTATATAGCGTTTAACTCTTTGGGAGTAGCAAGGTACAGCTTGCCATGCTAGGGCCGTTCGGTATAAGGAAGATAATGTGAATACAACTACGCTTTAACCGCCTAGTACTTCAGGATTGTGAATCCCAAGTACTCATTTAAGACTGAGTCGACCCAGGTACCCAAACTATTTTTATTTTATAACTAACTAGTCGACTGATGAATTGCCGGCTGTAGGGTTCGAATCCACAACCTTTAGATTGGTAGACGAGAGATGTACGTCTACGCCACCGGGTACCTATAGAGTGTATCTCAGAGGGTTAATATGTTTTATATAGCTCGGGCAGTAATATATGTAGCTTTAAAATATAATTTAATCCTGAGTCAAATAAGTCAAAAATGTGGCTGTCGGTACTGAAAAAAGATTATGATCTTTGTCAATACCTGGACCTATTTTTAGAAAAAAAATGCTAACAAAGATGACTTGTTTCAGTCAAGATTAAATTATCTTTTAACGCTATATCACTGCCCAAGCTATATTAAATATATTAACCATATGAGATACACTCTATACAATAGGATTACATCAAGACAAGGCCTTAAGACTACCTTGAATTTAGCTAATTTGCCTCCAACTGAGAACTCTGCAAAACTCCATTTACTCAGGATTGTAACTTTCAGGTAACTGTAAAGATATAGTTATTATAGGAAATGTTATAAGTTGTATTTTTTAGATTCAAGAATGGATTGGTAACAAGTTAGATCCTTTACAATATGGCTGGAAGAAAGATCAAAAAGACAATCTGACACCTATTCAATCAACAGAATGTAGCGCCTGCTGACCCATTAAAATTATTTTTTTGCAATTGCAAAGAGATTCAGTGCTCTAAAAATTGCTCTTGTAGAAAACTGGGTCTTAAATGTTCTTCAAGGTGTGGTCAGTACTACGGGATCAGTTGCACAAACTTTTGTATTTTAATGTAGGACAAAAATGACGCTCAGGATGACGACATAGCACATTTTATTTAATAACTTTAATTTAATAATAATTTTTAAACAATAACATTATTTAATAAATAATACTTAAACGTTATTTTTAATTGTTTTAATGCTTAAATTTATACTTGTGGTTTATCTATATTAACACTATACTGTTATATACTGTTATACAAAAATAATAGCTGATAGAAAATTTATAAAACGTATAGTAAAAAATTGCTCTATCTCTATTACTATTTATGTTAGAAAAAAATTTATGACCCCACAAAACTGCAATTCTTTCCCCATTTAACCGACTCTCTATCTCCAATATTTTCCGAGATACCCATAGAGAACATCGTAGGAAACTCTCCCTGTATACAGGGTGTCCCAGAAATAAGTGCAAGTATTTTAAGGGGTGGTAGATCTCGATAAAAGGAACATATTTTCTCTTTATCGTTTTTCAAATAAGTCGAAAATAACGGAGTTATTTTTTTACTTTGAAAATTTCCAAAAAAATTATTTTTTGCTAAAATTTTGAAAACCACTGGATCTTTTGTGGATTTTCTTTCTTGTAAATTTAATCTAATATCTATGTTGCCAAATTTTCAAAAAATAATGTTTTTAACTAAAAACTAAAAAAAAATTCTAAAAAAATTTTCAAAAAATTACGAATTTTCAAAAAAAATTTTCGCGAAAAAATCATGGGCGTGTTTCTGGGGTTGACCTATAGTACCAGTTACAATACTTGCACTTATTTCTGGGACACCCTGTATATAGTAGTCACTGAAATTACTTCTTGATCCATTTACTATCACCAAAATTGAGATATCATATTTTTCACAAAAGAACAGAACAAAATAATCCATATTTCAAGAGTAATAGCTATATTAACAAATACTACTGTAACACATTGTACATAAACTATTGATACCTCTGAATAAAAAGATTAAGGAAGGAGTATAATTAATGCCTCCTATATTAAAGAAGTATTAGTATAATGCTATTCATGTGCTTTCTCTCGTGGGGAAATTCCTCATGTGTGGGTAATCCGATTAGAAGTTGTCTCTTGATATTTCGTCGATTTTGAAGAT